GCAGAATCTGGCGGGTGAGGTAGAACTTTCCCATTTCAGCTTTTACAGGTAGGTAGGCCTCTCCTGGTACAGAGGTCATCAGATTAGGTCATATAGTTGTTTTTGTATGGCTTAACGTGTGACCCAATGCTGAAGCAAGCTCTTCTTGCACTTGACACGGATTTTAATCGAGCAATATCTCCATGATGGGTKTAACACCGTTCGCTTTTAGGTGAAATCTCTGGATTTCAAGCAAACTTATTGCGATCCATTCTTTTGTGACAGTGTGAAAATGTATTAAGTTTTATCACAGCAAAGACCACTGCATCGCGTTCTGATGKCAGATTTCTCACCAGCTCAAATCTATACCAATATGAGAGTTCGATCTGACCATATGAACGCAATTATTCAAGTGTTCAGCAATGAGYTTTGTTACCCAAAAGAAGAGCAATAAATTCAGTGCAAAAAATCATTAAGTTACGCCCTAAGAAAGGAATAAACAGAAACTGAAACATCATAACGCMCACTGTGGTAAATCGAAATTTAGTGTTCAATATTGCCGCTTGCAAATACAAATTCTTATTTCTCCTGCCACTTGAACACAAATATGTTTATTTGCTGTCTCTGCGCAAGTGTCCCCGTAATAGATGTTGACATTACTCCCTTGACAGACGATTTGCCGACGCTGAAGATTAATGCTTCTCTAATCGAACTATTTGACGCTCGGACATGTCCAGATTTGAATAAATTTGTATTCCGAACAGCAGTTTGTTTGTTTTGCTGTGTTTTATTTACATAAGRCTGCGTTATTTATTTGATATTTTGGCTTTTATTCATTTGCGTTTGATTCGTTCTAATTTTGTCAGGCAAGTGAGAATGGGAGTTGTGGTATTTGTTATTGTAGGCTGTGACAATATTTATTGCATTTGCTGCTGKTTTGATTCGCAACTTACCAATTTGAGCCAAATATTTGTTATTAGCAATTGATTCTTCTCATCCTGCAAAGAGAGAGAGCACAAATAAAGTATCCTTTAGTATTGAAGACAAGCATTTGTTGCTGCTGCTTACAAATACATGTTAATATTTTTTATTACTTTAGGCTTAAGTTATTAAACAAATAGGTATRGATTATTTTTTGTAGGCATTTTATTTGTCTTAAGTAAAGAGTAGTCATATGTTTATGTAATATGTAGAACTGCAATTATATCAATCAACAATCTACTCAGCACCCGTAGTACCCTCATTATCAAAATATTTATAAAATACTAGCTGACCCCACAGCCGTTGTCCTGCGTAAAATTATGTGTTTTGAAACGAAAAGAAAATTAAATTTATAATTAAAATTATAATTTATTTTTTTTTCAATGTAACGTTGCTGGATAAACCACATTTTTTGGTTTCTGTTTCGGTGTACAAAAAAGATGGTTTTCAAACTCGTGATCACGCTACCTATGTCTGACCGTGTGAAAAGCATAGTACTTCCAAACTTGGCAAACCAAGTTGTGTCCTGTTGATTGTCAACTCAAATGCGATTTTCACTGAAAGCGAAATACGTTTGAACTTAAATGGCAAATCATTGGAACTCAAAAGAATTCGTAGAATCAAGCATTATGTCCACTTGTATTCGATAGATGCGTCACAATGCATGAAGATTGCGAAACATAATAACGACAGATCAAACTTTGAGACGAAAATGATGCGGTGGCATACCAAACTTCTCCAAAGAATTCAGAAATTCCAGTGGATAATTCACGGCGTCGTCTTTATTGTCAAGACGATCGATCGGTTTGTATGAGCGCAAGTCTCCCGGAATTTGACTCTAAATCTTCCAGTTTAAGTCAACAACATCGGTATTTTTGGCAACTAACATTGCGCGTGCATTTAGGGAATCGTAGTTACGATAATTTGGCCATTGTTCGGATAAACATTCGTGATGAGTTCATCTTTCGTGAATTGATAAACGGCGAATGGAATTGATATCAATCCACCGTAAGTATCAACCGGAAATTTTGTTCGCTGGCTTACTTCTCCAAAACTTGCACACACCGTACCATTCACAGTTCGCAATGACTCAAATGAAGCTGAACCGCGAACATTAATCGAAGGTAGAAACCGTCGTCATTTTACGGATGGATTGTATAAATTCGTCTTAAGGAATTAGTTGAGAACACACCTGGATGTCAATCTACTGGTTGGCCTTCCTTTTTGCGTAACTATTCCTTCGACGATGCATTCCATGTGTGTCAAGATATTTCCGAATAGAGCAATGTTCTCGCAAACAGATCACTGGCGGAAGTTGAGAAAAAACTCGTAAATGTT